AGCTGCACTTGTTGAATACGATGATTACAAATAAGTTTTATTAAAGCTGATGAAGATGATTTCTCTATTTCTTTTTCATGGAAAATCATTGTGAAAGAGTTTTTCTATACGTAACATGCACTGATGACCAACAGAGCTATTTGAGAAGGTAATTTAAGTCTGGATTCAGGTTCAGAAACTATCAGACTCACCTGGTCTATTGTGAGGAAGTCGATCAGAAAGTCTTGTTGATTGCTCATAATCACTATTTTGGTCATAAATACTCGTTGAGATTGACTCGTCACATTGTTGTATATTCGCCCGAACTGATCGATCGAACTATTGTATATCGCGAAAAATCTTTTGATATGAGTTAAAACAAGAGAACATCAGGTTGATTGAAAAGTAATAATGCGAATAACTCTGTGATACTGCTGGAATCTTTCTTGATCAGTATGTCTGTTCGTGAAATAGATATAAATAACAGATATTTATGGGAAAAAATGAACTATCTTCGTTAATTCTTTATCAAAATCAGTGAGAAAAAAATATCGTTCATCGAGAACATCTTGATATAATAAAAAACGGTATCCTTCGGGATTATTTTTGAGTGTTGATGGATATCATTAACAAACGAAGAATCATTGAGGTATTCTCAGTGGCCAAATACTGAAGTGAAGCCATTTGAGCTAGTGAACTGTTTGCCTTAATGATATTTTAACAAGATGATGAAGAGATATTTCGATCGTTCATTGATCTAAACAAAAAATAAGCGCAGTCGATAGAAATCAGTTTCTCTTCAATGTTTCAGAAGATTGATAATGAAATCCGTTGAAAAACTTCGTATTACCTTCCTCACAGTTCCTCATTCACTCACCAGCTAGTTATCAAATATTTCTTACCATCTATATGTTAACTATCTATCGTTTGACTGATATAACTCATTGTTCCGTTCAATGCTTTCTGTCTTAATTCGTAAAAGAAAATAGAAGAAGCAAATGTACGTCGAATAAACATCAGAGAAAATATTCACAATTTAGAATTAAAATGATCCAATTCGACATTGTTCATTGAATGATTTCACTTTCCCAATTCAATACAACTTTCTTTGATCATTGGAAAGAATGTGATGAAGTGTGATAACGAAATTTCTTGACTTTCTGGTTAATTTATCAATATTACCATTTCATATGCAAAGTTGTAATTTATGTGCACGAATTTTAAACGTATTTATCGCATACATCTGACTAGATTCAATAACAGCAGCAGATGTAATTGTTTCTTCAAGAATTTCTTTATTTTCTATGAAAGGATGAAATGAAGTTTTATTGCAATAAATACTTCAAAAACAATATCTTCATTCGCAAGTAATTGCTCGGGCAATGTTTCCGTGGAAAATATTTTCAAAATTATATCAGTGAGGTTTTGTGCATTGATATCATTTTTGCCTTTACTTTTTGTGCCGTATTTCACGTATTAAATAATGAGAAGACATAATCATTTCTAACTGTTTCTCTCACAGTCAGTCATTTTTGGAGGCGAGAGTGACTGGTAGATAACGCCAGTGTATAACGTTGTTTTAATCTTGAATATGTCGAAAGTCAAGACATATAAAGATGTTACCCATGTGTAAATCAAATTTTATCGAAGAAATTTGATGGAAAATCGATTTCAATGGATGATTTTAATTCCTTTTTCTTCAATCCGATTGATTTTCATCGGTTTTATGACAGGATTTAATTGTTTATATCGATCTAACTGATTTCCAACCAATTTAAACCTCGAACTCTGAATCATGCTGCAGTATTCTTGAAATAAGCATATATGTTCGGTTTGGCTTGTAGTTGAGACTCAGTCGTTATACACTATAACGTCAAATATAATGAATGGAGAATATTTTCTTTCCACGTGTCTAATTAAAAAACAAACATTTTTAGTCATCAAATGATTAGATATGTAAAACATTCTTTCTTTCACATACATTTGATAATAAGTATCATACTTATGCAGTGAAGCATGTCACCAAAAATGAGAATGTAAATATTTGCCTTATTTCTCGATCAAAATTAACACAAACGACATGTTATCTAAGGTGAAAACATTATGGAGATTAAAATTGAGGAAACATTCACAAAATACACAAAAGCGATTGAATAATAAATTGTTTGATGAATCAATTAATGACAATCAACAACAACGAAGAGATGACAATGAAGAAGATATTACATTGATTTGGTTGAATAAAACTGAAAAAAGTCCATCAACTGTCACATCACTCCGCAATGTTATTGATTATCTTCAAGTAAATATCAGTAGATGAAATGACAGACAAGAATCTTATTTTTGTCTTATAGATCTTCAATAACGAAAACGCTGCTTTGTCCTATATTGAATCGATTGTAGATGAAAAAATTATCCTTATAACTGACGATGTATCTGATCATATTCTCGCGAGACTGGAATCATTCAAACAAATTCATTCGATTTTTCTTTATACTCCAAATTTACCGGTGGATTTACCCTCTAAAGTAACAGCTTGTTGTCTAACTGAAGAACAATTAATCGATGAAATGGTTCGTAGTTGTAAACAGTTGAGCGATCAACTAGTGGTGTTCTCGATTTACAATCATCAAAAGAAAGAAAAATGTGATTTAACTCGTGAAGCTGGTTCGTTTTTATTTTTTCAATTGTTCAAAGCAGCATTTACAATACTTCCGAAAACATCCGAATCGAAAAGATTACTCATGAAAAAATGTCGTCAATATTATGCTGGAAACACGAAAGTTCTTGAAGAGATAAGAAATTTTGAAATAAATTATAAACCGCACGAAGCCTTAGAATGGTTTACGAAGAAATCGTTTATCTATCGTTTAGTCAACAAAGCACTCCGAACGGAAAATATCAATTCATTGTGTTTGTTACATTTTTACATCGCTGATTTATCAAAACAATTGGAAAACGAATTTTCGAAGTTTAGGAAACAAAACTCCGATTCTTTGATCAAATGTTATCGAACTTTTCAATTTTCATCGTACGATATTCAATATTTTCAATATAATATTGGAAATTTGATTTTAACAAACGGTTATCTTTCAGCGACACGTAATCGACAACTAGCTGCCGGAGATAAAGTCTTATTCGAATATACAATTGATTTAAACGAAGTTAAGTCGATTGTATTCGCTAATATAACAGAAAATGAAATACTTTTCGATATTGGTACTGTTTTCAAGATGAACTCGTGTACATACATTGAGAAAGATGAAATCTGGATTGTAAACGTAAGTGCGACGGATGAAGGTGCTAATTTTGCATCAGAATATATTGAATATCAAAGATTGAAAATGACCAATTCGAATTTGATATTAATGCTTGGTCATTTAATGATCGAAACTGGTGATTACAACAAAGCGGAAAAGTATTTTCAAGCAATCTTACATTCATCGATTCCAAATGACGAAGAAATTTCGTGTATTTATTTTCATCTAGGACGAATCTATCGATTACAAAGTGATTATACACATGCAGTGGAATATCTCAATCATGCATATGAAACACATTCTCGAGCGAAACCATTACGTTTAGCCAGTGCTGCGAAAGCATTGAATGCGATCGGAATTCTTCATCAAGAACAAAATAATTATCAAGAAGCAATTGAAGCATTTGAAAATGTTTTGAAAATCTATGGAAAAACCATCCAAGAATCTCATCCTGATGTGGCTGGAACATTGATCAATCTTGGTAATACTTACTGTCAACAGGAACGATTCTCTGATGCACTTTCATGTTTTAATCGTGCACAAACTATCTATGATTGTAATTTACCAACAAATCATCCAAATGTTGCAATGTTATGGAATAATTTGGGAAATTTCTACTATCAGCAATTGCAATTAGATTCAGCTTTAGATGCCTATCAGCGAGCATTAGCGATCTATGAGAAACTTCTTCCTCCGAATCATCCCGATATTTTACGAAATCAAAATAACCTATTGAAAGTGAAATCAATGTTTGGTGATCAATATCAATCGACTTTGGAATGGAAATACGGAGTGAAGAATACTCTGTTCGTTGAAGATTAAAACGCATTCAAGTTTGAATCAAATGTTAACACGAACAGTTGACTTTAATAAAACTTATACTAATAAATATTTATTGTGATTAAAANTCTTCCTCCGAATCATCCCGATATTTTACGAAATCAAAATAACCTATTGAAAGTGAAATCAATGTTTGGTGATCAATATCAATCGACTTTGGAATGGAAATACGGAGTGAAGAATACTCTGTTCGTTGAAGATTAAAACGCATTCAAGTTTGAATCAAATGTTAACACGAACAGTTGACTTTAATAAAACTTATACTAATAAATATTTATTGTGATTAAAAGAATTCTATTCAATAATGAAAGTTCATAAGCAATTCTTTTGATCAACGAGCATTTTCTACTTCTAACTTTATTTGCGTCAGATGCTTAAAGATCAGTTTTTCCATAGTCCAACGTATGACTTTAAGATAAGAGATAAAATATGTCGATCACGTGGGGGGACTATAAGCTTTGTTGTCTTATCGCGAGTGAGGGGAAGGTTTGAAATGTAAATTGGAAATTAGACATAACACCAAGAAAGTCTAGTCTTTACATATAGTTTCTCAATTTGAGTTTGTTCGAATAATCGACACAGATCCGTTCGGGCCGGAACAAGTTTTCCCAAATATTATATCGTAAGAGGAGTCATAATATTGGTATTATATGCATCGTTACACTACGTACGTTACGTTGTTTCGTTTGTCAAAAGTTTTTCGAAATACTTCGTATCACTTCTTTTTTTTCTTTCTGATAATACTCTACCTATGATTCAACGATTCTTCAAGGTTTATTCCTAGTTAGATGTTATATAAATAGTTAACGATTTCTATCTGAGCATGTATTTACTTTACACATCTGATAACAAACACGTATATAATCGACGTATAAGAACTTGATACTTAAATTCTTCTGATGTAAAACTCAATCTAATTCAATGTCTCGATTTACGGCCATTTTTTCAAATGACAAATTTCAAAAATATGGAGTTGATGAATCAGTATGTAAAGATTTACGTCGCTTCTGATATAAGTCTCTGATCAAATGTACGTTATATATTGTAGACTACTGTTCGGCATTTTAAAGAATGTCTTTGCAGAGAACATGGTGTACCATTCGAACGACAGCGATTAGTATTTAGAGGCAAATTCCTTGACGATGACAAGAAATTGGCCGAATATAGTGCATAATTTTTAGTTATTCTTAGTAAAGATTAATATTTATATTCTCGGTAGATATCCAGGGTCATAATATTTTTCTTATGGAAACTGACGAATCAACTACAACTGCTTATGCGACAACAACTGATAAAATCGCTTTTGCTAGCAGTAATGATGGTATGAAAATATGACGGAATATTTAGAGTGTGAGATTTTTCGTCCAGCTAAAGTTTCAAGAAATCTAAAAAGTAGAAAGATGAATTGAACATATCGATAATTTCTGTTTTCTTAAGCTTTTTATTCGTGTTGATGTCTTACACAACCTAGTCTTTTTTCTCTTTTACAGTCAATATTAATAGTTTATTTTGTATTTCCATAGAAAATACCTGCTCGCAATTCAAAAAAGATCAGAAATTGTTGAAAAAGTATTATTACAATTTTCCAGTTATTAATGATGACATGAAAACATCTCTAGCTAAGGCTGAGCTGTTCACCGAACAGTTGCTCAGTGGTTTACCTTCTGGTGACCCTGCGGACAAAAGTACTCTCTGGCATATATTAACTAAATTAGATGGAAACGAACAACGGTCGTGTCTATTCTATGATTCTTCAAAGGATATGCGGCTTTATGATACAACTGGTTATCTGGCAGACAACAATCGCGAAGACAGACCAATTGTATTAACATTAAAAAGCTGTTGTGGATTATACAATTACACAAATGATGCAAGTGATCTGGAATTCATTCAGCTACTAAATAAACATATTGAAAACAAATATCCACACCCAATTGTCGATGACATACTGCAACGTTTGTCACAAGCACATCGTATCGATAAAAGTCATGTTTCAATTAAACATATCGTTTATGGATCAATCAATATAGTTTATACAGTCTCATGTCTAGATGCGAATTATTTAAACCAATTACCAGACAGATTAAAAGAGCAATTCGATCAATTTGAAAGTGTCAGAGTTCATCCGTTGTTATTCCGACCATCGTTCGATATCAACTTCTTTGATCAATGTGGCGATAGAAGTTTTTATGCTGGACAACATACCTTTAAAATAGGGCCAGTGGGACGCGAGAAAGCTTATAGACAACCCATTGGTTGGACGAGATACGGATTAAAAGTTTTAGAGAAATACGGAACAGACCATACATGGTTAGAGCCGTTTCGTCATGCTGGAAATTGGTACAGAGCTTTTCATGGGACGGGTCGTGTACAATCGGAGGATTTTAATGGTTCTATACGATATTGCGATAAGGATTTTGCACCTGTAGATGCTATTGCTAGCATCATGCAAAACGGTTTTAATAGAGCCAGGGTCGTACGTCATGGACCAGGTGTTTACTGTTCACCAAATCCAGCGCTTCCCGAAGATAGGAGATATGTTCGCGTCGTCAAAATTTCGACTCAGCAAGGAGAAAAAGCATTCAAATGTATGTTACAAGTGGCAGTTAATCCAGATGGTGTCCTTGTAAGTTCCAATGAAGACATATGGGTCGTTCAAAATCCGCAAGATATTCGAGTATATGGTATATTGATCAAGGAAGTCAACGAAGCCAATAGACCACAATGCACTATATCTTAGGAAAGATATCAGATTACAAAAGAAAGTAATTCAAGAATGCGCTTGTACGATGACTC